TTCGCGTTATTTTCCCGGCAAGGTTAGTTTGGTTTTGCTTGTTTGTCCTGTTGTTTAACGCCGCACTCCCAGCAGATCAGGGTTAGAAATGGACTTTACCATCCTAGCGGTCATCGTCATAGGAGCGACAAACGGAGTTCAGGTATTATTCAATACTGTTCATTTTAATAACACATGAGATGATATGAGATGGAAAGCTGCCATTATTCAGGTCGTGGGTGAAATCGGTTATCAAGCGTTTTGAAAACTGCATATGTTTGAAAGTCACGGAAAGAGTCAGTGAGAAATGAAAAATGCTCTTCTTTCTGATATAAGACTTTACATAATGTACAGTACTGTCACAGGAGGAAACAAATTTATCACCAGAACTTGAATGTTTTGGAAAATGTATTGTGTATGATTGTCACGATCACGATCTGTGATACAGATGAATACTACAGCAGACAGATAAGCTTCCTCTATCAAAGTACGGGCTATGTTAATTTCGTTTAGAGATTCTCTTATAACATGGCATGGAGGGCCTCGTTTCTCAAAGCTATCGTCTACCCGACTGTCGCACCTCTATACTGTAACACTGACTTACGACAGCTTTGTTAAACGGGGCCCATGTGTTGTTTTGAGACAGCTGAGTTTCATTAACAGTTACAAGCAAGATTTGTATAGAGGTAGAGGTAGAGTATTGAACAAATTTACAAAGGCAGTTACCATAGGTATTAATACAAGTGTTTTGATTAAATTTCTTCCAGATTGTCTTTGATTTGACAGGGATTGTAATGGAAGCATAATTAATATTTTTTTCAGTTTTTAAAATAAACAGGAAATTAAAGTGTGCATCAATCTATTCAGTAATTGCGGGATTTAGAAGGACAGCTCTCGCCAGGACTCTGTGCAAATGCATGAAAACAAATCTTCGTGTGCTCTTCCAACAAATTGGCATGTTAACCCTCAATGTCAAAGTGTATTCACCTGCCTGTTATATGCCTGTTTTAAATACCATAGTTTCACGCATGAAATCGATTAAGATCACACATGTAATCATAACAAACTTGAGGAGTTTGGTTTTGTCTTGCCTTCTTACAGTACCATTAAAATGTGAGTTTGGTGAATCAACTCATTTAACACAGGTACCACCCTTGTATACACCCTACTAACACATCAACTCAACACCTCGAAGAAATCTTCCCAACTTACTCAGTATGCTGCGGTGTTGTCTCTCCAATGGAGTGTGGACATCGGTTTCAGTACTGATAGATCTTATCAACTATCTTGTATCAAAACGAAATATTTCAATGTTTTGTTATGTTTGAGGCGAAGACCGACACATACTCTCATGGAACCTCTAGATTTCGAGTTTTACTACCTACAGCAAAGAAAGAAATGACAAGCTCGGTTTGGAACAGCGTTGATACAGCTGAACTGTCTAGTTCTCCAGATCGCAACATCATAAGACAAAAAATTGGTTGTACTATGTGTTCGAAAAAGGGTATTAAAACACCTTACCTGATCAGACACCAGCAGATTTAAGTTTACATACGATTACACTCAATGCAGGACTAGCAGATTTAGCTATTTCATAAGCAATAAAATATAGGATGATGTTGACAGCCCGACGCCCGACAGCAGTACACAGCCCATACACTGAGGTGATACCTCCGGTCAACTAGGGTCACCATGGAGTCGGAACTGACCTTTAGAACAGTGACCAAGCTACTCCCATTACCTGGCGTGAACTTACTTTTAGTGTCCAATGTGACATTCAAAGTCTTTTTGTTTATCTGAGTATTTATAAAAATGGTGATTTATCACATCATGCTGGGAAGCCATTGTGTATGTGTTATGGCGTCAAAGTGTCCTGTATAAAAGGATGACAGTATATATTGCAAATCAGTATCGCTCTGAAGTCCTCGGCTGTTCAGATCATCTCCTCAACAGCTCAGATCATCTCACCCAATACAATGGTTGCTTTTGTTGCTGCTTGTTTTATCTTCGCCTTCGCTGGAACTGCCTATGCTGCAAGTAAGTCTTTGTAACTGTAACTATACATTGGTGTATAAGTGACTTTTCTGCGCCTTGTTGTTCTACAACATACTTAAGTTTGAAAGTATATAATCACACATGACCAAATGAATTCACGTTCACATCTATTAGATCATATATTTCAGTATGAAGTATATATTTGGGGGTGCGATGGGGTAGCCTGGTGGATAAGGCGTTTGCTCGTGAGGCCCAATACCCGGGTTCGATGCCCCACGTGGGTACAATTGTGAGGGCAATATCTAGTCAAATGAGAGTTATTAGATACTGGATTTACTTAAAGGAATGCCTGATTATCGATACCCCCACCAAAGCTATTAACTATTGTTATCACTAGATAATTGTGGAAAACATTCATGGGCTTCAGATGTGAGAAATATGTTATTTTCAAGTGGGTTTTATTATGTTTGGTTTAAGCAAGTTGTTGGTGATAAAAAAACATTTTTGTCAACATTTAAACAACGGATAAAAGATATTTATGTTCAGAGTTGGTACGCATCAGTAAATTCATCAAGTTTTCTTAGTCATTATTCACAATGTAAATCGATGTTCGGACCTGAAAAATATATCAGTGTTCTTAATGATAAGTCCCCTTTAAGAATTTTTGTAAATTTAGAATCTCTCTACATGCTTTAACGTTTTAGAAAAGATAATAATACATTGGAAGATGTATCATGCTCTTATTGTTCTTCTGGTAAAACTGAAGACGAACACCATTTATTATTAGTCTGTGATGCCTTCTCTGCCTGCCGAAAGAAGTATTTAAAATGCTCTAATGATACCCCACAAACGATATATAATGTACGTAATTCTAATAATGCTGATATTATCAAATCTGTTGTCAGTTTCATAAAACATTTGATGTCCATCCGTAAATCGCATGTAAAACTATAATTTCATGTCATGTGACCAATAGTTGAAATTGTGCATCTTCAATTGTACTTTGGGCCACTGGGCCTTAACTACTGAAAAAACCTCTCTGTCTGTCTGTCTGTCTGTCTGTCTGTCTGTCTGTCTGTCTGTCTGTCTGTCTGTAATATCTAGTGTCCACCGAAGTGATATTGCTGGGATATTGAGGCGTCAAACATTACTCACTCACTATATTCGGGGGATACCACACACATTTGAAATTGGATAAATTTATCAATCGGTTCATGTAGTTCATTAAGTGGATGGTGGTTACATTGTCTTAAGGGTTGTAATACATAGTTGGCAGTTACGTCCCTTTGGCGATCAAGTCTCCGTTGATACTCAATTCGAATCTGTCATGTAACACACCATTTCCCTTGAAGCTTATTTTACAGTTTCTCTCACTTCATGATTATAAGATTACAAGATAATATGATCTGCGATGTGGTAGAGTATACATATATGGAAAACAGAGCTTCCATATGATTATCAGAGCATTTTATATCCTTGACGTCTTAGCATTAATTGTACTGTTGCATCTACCTATAAACAGAGATTAACACACCTAAAACAGAGATAAGTATCTTCGCGTCTTCAACATTCAAAAATGAGTATGCTCTCGCCTACCAAATTATAGTTAAGGTCCTTCTGATACATCTGCGTTTCAATATTAGGATTGACAAGTAGGCATATATTTATCCCACGATATCAGTAATGATCAGAGTGTATACGTGTGTACGGTATTACAACACAGGGTTCAGTGTACAGTGTGATTAGAAATGACGATTATACACACAACTTCATATTAGGAAGAATCAGATTATTGCAAACACGTCTTCAGTATCAGAAAGGATCTGTACACACGCGTCAACAATATTAGAAATTTCTTTTGAAAACATGTCAATAATATGAGAGAAAAAATCAATACACACATGTTTTCAGTATTAGAATGGTGTAGAGAACATATGTCTCCAATATAAGAAAATATCAATCTAAATAAAACATGTCTTCCATTTCAGATCAAGTACGTAGAAGACCTCAATATTGCTCTAGTATACACGTTTTCACTATCCTAAACATTTTCAGTATCCGAAAATTCCAATAAACACACATATTAAATATTCGAATCTAATGGCTAGTATACACACTTCTTTGAGAGTTTTTTAGAAGTTGGAGAACTAAAGAAGGATCAGATATATGGATGAACAACTTCTTCATTACAATAGCAGCGACATTTGGATGTAGGTACTGACACCATCATCACATGCTAATGGTGTTGGTTCCTACACCCAAACTTCTCTCATACTGAACTACAGAAGGTTTTCATCCATATGTAGTATCATTCCGTACCATACACACGTATTCAGTATCAGGAAAGGTCAGAACGAATGTCTATAAAACTAGAAATGACCAGAATAAACTCGTGTCCGGTATAAGAAAGGAACAGTGGTGTCTCCGAGAGAGTTTCAATAATATCATAATATCAACAAGGTCCCACTTCATCATGTTATACTTCCAGCACCCACCAACTGCACTCTCTCTGGATGTGGTTTCGGAGGCAAGTGCATCAACAATGATGCTGGTACCGCCTCTACCTGTCTGCTATGAAGGATTTGAAATCAGTTTACAGACTTTTTTTGAATGCATAGGTCAGTAACTCGAAGATTTGATTGGTAAATAGTGTTTCGTCATTTAACAAACACCAGCTCTTTCAAATTTCACGTTTTTCTTTCGATCAGATGCATATACTCTAGATAACTATAGAACCGTGCATATTACCATGATTGAAATTATTGCATTTTGTGACAAAAAAGGAAACTAAAAATAATTAGCACGAAGTAATGAGTATCATGAACAAATTCCAAATGTTGAATTGTTTTTCTGTACGGATACATTCCCCTCTTTGTTCTGTTTCCTTCCTAAATGTTTGATAAGTTATTGTGCCAAATTAGCTTAAAACAAGGCATACTCGAAACAAATACTCACATGACGTGTTTTCTCTGACAGATATCAATGAGTGTAACCAAACCAGTGCTGCCCTGTGTCCCAACGGCTACTGCTACAACATGTACGGCGACTACACATGTAACTGTTTCCCAGGATTCGTCCATCACCCTAACGGAAAGACATGTGTCTTAAGTAGTAGTAAGTCTATACGAATGTATATGTAAATATCAAGGAGAATTCTAGACTGTTGGTGTGAGTTTAGAATATGGCCTACAGTGAAGGTCAGGATCAGAATTGGTCCTAAATACTGACTGACTGAGTTTGGTTTTACGCCGCTTTTAGCAATATTCCAGCAACATCACGGCGGGGGACACCAGAAATGGGCTTCACACATTGTACCCATGTGGGGATTCGAACCCGGATCTTCGGCGTGACGAGCCAACGCTTTAACCACTAGGCTACCCCACCGCCCCTGGTGCGAAGCAAAACAAGTATGGCTTGATCACATGATGCATAATGACTGATACCCTCGACGATACGGGTTTGCATGTCTCAAAAGGTGACAAGCGAGATCGACCAGGTTGATGATTATCATCGTATCCCAGTCGAGACGATTATTTATAGAACACCATCATATAGCTGCAATATTGCTGAGTGAGGTGTTGACAACGAACACACACTTGTGTTGTGGGTAGCTCCAACAATAATAAGATCATGTGGACGAACATGAATAGATGACACATTTTATGGATATCACGGGTGAATAATTCACCCGATGAAGGAGTAAGAAGTAGGTCTGAAACGTCGTATGAAGAGTAAAAGGAACTTGTTATTCATAAAACGTGTAATTTATTCAATGCTGAGGTGTCTTCAAATTGAAACGTGTTTATACATTTAAACATTTTTTGAGCGAGTGAGTGAGTGAGTATTGTTCTACGCCGCTTTTGGTAATATTCCAACAACATCTCGGCAGGGAACACCAGAAATGGGCTTCACACATTGTACCCATATGGGGACTCGGGCCTTTGGCGTGAAGAGCGAACGCTTGAACCACTGGGCTACCCCACCGCCTCGATGATATATGAAACATCAGTACAAAACAATGCCCATTCGTGACTATAGTCAGAAAACGATTTTATTTGTTGTAAAGGACAACATGGCTCTGATTTTCATATGCGTTGACCACAGAAACATAATTGATGACAAAAAAGGGTAAGCCTGTCCTGGCCAACCGGTTGCCTCGCCATTCACATAATCAGTCTGAAACCATTTTATGATTCAGGTCAAACCAACACCAACACCACCACCGGCAACAATGGCATCTTCGACTTGCTCAACAGCATCCCGACCTGGCTGTGGCCGTATATCTTGGGAGAGCTGTAGGGTGAAGATCCCTGGCTGTGGCCGTATATCTTGGGAGAGCTGTAGGGTGAACATCCCAACACTGTCAACATAATTGATGCAGTGTACTGGTCACGCCGACAGACTGAAGCGCGTCTAACAATCGTAGGAAATGTAACACAGTTTGAGTAAAGATTTATAATCATGCTTTGTTTCACTGTTCTGATATGTGGCCATCATTTGTCACAATGTGTTGAGTAAGTGAGTGAGTACTACGTCTTATTATCGTGAAGGGTTTAGTCAATACGCTTCCCCACCACCACAACTAACTGCTGAAAATCAAATGCTTTCTGTTATAAGGACCGAAGCTACGTTGAGGCATCGTGTATTCATTTAGCCTTAACCAAGACAGATTGGAAATTTCTGACTGTCAAGGAAACCCGAAAATATGGTATTGCCCCGTAGGGTATCTTGTGCCGGTGCTTTATGATCATCTGAACTTTTACAAACTGATTGCTTTCACTTCTACCATACATCAATGACAGGGATACAACATATCAAAAGGAAAGATATAATTACAAAGATTTTTAAAATAACAACAACATAGTTATTACATTATGGGAAAATATATCAAACATAATAAACTTTTTTAACATATTCATAATATATCTTCCCTACAAAACCGACCGAAATAGGGTCACCGTTACGTCAAAAACAATAAGAAAAATTGAAGTAGGAAACTTGCATTTTATGGCAACCTACTCCAGTTATCTGTCTAACAAACACAACCCCTTTAAAACATAAAATAGACCTGTATGTATATTGATATGTCCTAGACCTGAAAATGTATTATATTACTTCCTCTTTCTATCTGCAGTGCAGCAACAGCTGTCATTTCTTAATAACTACGTATAACATTTACTTAAGGCTACTTCTAACAATGGCTATTTATAAAGCACCTGTTTCCACGCACTAGTGCATGCTCAAAGCCCAAACACAGTACTAGGGCTCATATTTATATTTATGTGCATACAAGCATCATGTATTTACTCTGAGTGACATCAGGGATATTATAAATCTTCGGATCCCTCGAACTCCATGTACACCGTCCATATCCCCATAAACCTGTTGATATCCTTCATCTTCGTTTTGCCCGTTTGTCTCTCTTTATGTCCGTTCAACTCCACCTATATCGTTTCATATCTGCTGACATCCACAGATATTCTTTGTCCCCGTTTATGTCTGTTTGTGAAAGTTCATAGTACTATCTGTTGTTATCCGCTGCTGTTAACCGTTTATCCCCAGTATATATATATATACCGTTTATTCGTCTGGATATCCTTTATATCCTTTGAGTTTATTCAACATGTTTACCCGTTGATCTCCCATTATATCCGATAAAACTTAATATAGGTCCAATACATTTATCTCCGTTTATCTACGTTCGTTTCCTTTCAGTGTATCAGGGAAAAGAACTGAATAGTAAAAATTCGAAGATTCTTTCAAAAGCAGTACTAAATCAGTATTTACACTGATAAACTGGGACAAGCAGGAGTCCAAGTCGAGTTCTACAGGCCAGCAGGGTGACGCCCCTTGATTGATCTATAAAACCGAGTCTCTCAAATGCGTCCGCCTCGCCCGCGCGAACAGCTTATGCTTAGGAGCTCAGCTTGTAACAGTACCTTTGTACAAAGGGACCTTACTCTAATCGGACTGTACCTTAGCTGCGTATGTTTCCCCAGTATCATTAAAACAAATGCTTAAAGGATTGGTTTCTGTGTGGTGACATGTGTGTATCCATTGAATTTATGCAAATCAATACAATTCATATTTCTATTAATCTATGAGTTGATGTCGTCATGACATTCTAGAATACAGAATGTTGCCATGGTTACTGATGATTAATGATAAAAGGCAGTAGGTTAGCCTAGTGGGTGGCGTTCGCTCGTCACGCCGAAGACCCGTGTTCGATTCCCCACATTTGTGTGAAGGCCATTTCTGGTGTTGTCCCTGCCGTAATATTGCTGGAATATGGCTATAAGCGGCGTTAAATTATACTCACTCTCTAACGTTAATGATGTTAGCTGTTATAGAACGAATGATGAGAGAAACTTACTGAAATCTGAACAACGGGTCACTAGGTATCTAATGCCCATCTTCCAGGCATTTGAAACAGAACCATTACATGTACGGTTCTGATGTGATCGCATGAGTGAACACCACTATATCGAATTGGAATTTTACATATCATACATATATGACAACAGGGAGAAAAGAAGACTGTAGATTATCTCTGATCACAGCATCCACTGCCCGAGCAGCAGGCTGTATATATGGTTACATCTTCTCGGCGACACAGCTTCATTTCGTTATCTTTAACATTGATGTCAGTACAGTTACTTAACTTACTTTACAATACCTTCCTTAACTCGCATGAGAAGAATGGTTTCAGGTTCTTGTTTCCTGTGCGATTGGCATCCGAGGTAAAACACTTCCGTTCAGGCATGAAAATTTTTATTCAGAACTTCAATTCTTTGGAAAATCTATTGTGTATGGGTGTTGTCACGATAACGATATGTGATACAGATCGTTATTCCTGGAAAAACCTATCTATCAAAAGTACACCTATGTTAATTTTCTCTCAGGAATTCTCTTATAACAGGGCATGCACGTATTATGGGTGAGACAACTGGGTTTCGTTAATTGTTACAAAGAGTTCTGTATGTAAGCGTTAGAGGGAAGGTAGAGTACTGAACACATTAACAACAGCAGATACCAATTTGTACTGATAAAAGTGTTTGATTAAATTTCTCGGATTGCCTGATATGACAGGGATTGCAACTGAAGCATAATGAATATTTTACGGTTCAGGTTTGCTTAAACAAACAAGATGTTTTGCAGTTTGCAGATTTGCATCAGTATATTCAGTAATTGTGGATTTTGAAGGACATCTCTCATCAGGACCCTGTGCCGTGCATGAAAAATATCACCGTGTGCCTTCAACAAACTGACATGTTAACCCGAAAGTCAAAGAGTAATTCACATCCTTGGATGCCTGTTTTAAATACCATACTGTCACGCATGAAATTAGATTAAGATCATATATAATCATAACAAACGTAAAGGAGTTTTTGTTTTGTCTTGCTTTCTCACGAGGTACCATTAAAAGAGTCTGGATGCATCAACTCGCTTAGCACAGGTACCACCCTTGTATACAACCAGCTCACACATCAACTCAACACCTGAAGTAAAATAGACGACAAGTGCCGTGTGTCATTGCATTATTTACTTTATCTCGACTTTATTACAGAATCTGAAGAATGAGTGAATGGATGGGTTTAGCTTTTAGCAATGTTCCAGTAATATCCGTAGGAGGACGCCATAAATTGGGTTGACAAATTGTACCCATGTGGGAATCGAACCCGGTCATTGATGTAACGCTTGAACGCTTTGACCACTAAACGTACCCTACCTCCCTACTCTGAAGAAGGTATTGGATGACAAAATTGTTTATGGTGAAGTTCCTATGAATTAGATATGCTGTTCAGTTTGTATGCTACTCTTTGTATATGGCCATGTGATTCGATAAAGTGGATGGTAAAAATAGCCGTAAATGCAAATACATGGATATGTATTGCACCTTGGATCTGTTAGCTTGATTCTTTCTGACCAGCACAATAGGATATATAGGTCGCGTGTTTCTTCGATGCTTGTATTCAATGAAACCCTTTTAAGATTTATGATGGTGGAACATGGTCGGTTAGTTTGTAATATTCCCTGGCCAATTTCCAATCGCATTTAACGCGTTAAAAATTAATAAAATTCGTCTGTTTTCTCCTATTCGCTGTACTTTGACTTTTTTGTCTTACAGAAACAGTTACGAGTATCCCACCACATACGATTGATTCGGCTGTGGTATTGAGGATTTCTCATTGTAGCCCTGTTCAGTCATGTGTTACCAGGTTCACATGTAAATTACCCACACTTGTGTTTATCGCTTCATGAACACAACTATGCGTGCATTTCATGACTCATGTGTTGTACAATAACCATCGCCTATCACAGCGTCAAGTAATGTGTGCAACCCTCTCAGGTGATGTGGTCATAGATGGATTATAGGCAGCAGGTTAGACTGTAGGATTTAGATTTTCAATATTGTACTTGTGCTTGTCTTCGGACTGAGTATGGAAAGTAGGTATAAACATTTCTAAAGAAGTTTTAAAAGGAATATATATGTTGAAATTAGGGAAAACATGAATTCGGAGACGGTTATATTTCTTACATAATTTATTAAGTGTTTTCTTATCTCACCTGAAATTCAACCAATTGGGAATTATTTTCATCACTGATGTTTGGTGACTGATTCCTATAGTTTGCCATTTGTACTGATATGTGACGCGATGAACGCAATCGTAATATATTGATGATTCTCCTGGCGTCCCATTTTTATTATTTTTATTTTAATTATTTTTTCATTTTTATTTGTATGTTTTGTTTATCAATAATCCAGTTTGCTGGTTTTATTCCAGGTATATTTTTACCTGTAATGCAATGCTAGTTCTGAGGTGACGTCATAGTAGGTGTTTTCAGCGCATGGGTTCACAAGAATTAACGTAACGATGTAAAAACACCATTTGTCGACAACACTATGTGCATTTACATGCATCTTACCACAAACGAAGACTGTACATAGTTTAAAAGGAATATTTATTCATTGAATGCATATCAGATTACCATTCTACCAAAACGGCAACATAATGTTCACCTGCTTTGTCTGTATATTGTGACGTGGACGTATCAACAGACAATCCGGAAAATCCGTCTATTGGTATTTATAGGCGGGGAATTCCAAGGCTATATTTAGTACATTATATAACTGTTGTTTCCTCACCTGTCAGTGTCTGGGGTGAACGCCGGAGACCCCTCTGTGTGTGCACCAATTCTTGTCAATGTTTACTGCGCTAAAACAAGTATCGTAAACAGCACAGTTCGGTTTATAATTGAGCCAATATGATCAACAGTAGATCTTCCGCGTCGAAAACCATTCTGCTCGTCACAGAGAATATCATTTCTTTCCGCCCACGCAGAGAGACGTTCGTTGAGTATGTTGCAGTACGGTTTGTTCAAGTATGGTTTGTTGCAGTATGGTTTGTTGCTGTATGGGTTGTTGCAGTATGGTTTGTTGCAGTATGGTATGTTGCAGTATGGGTTGTTGCAGTATGGGTTGTTGCAGTATGGTATGTTGCAGTATAGTTTGTTGCAGTATAGTTTGTTGCAGTATGGTATGTTGCAGTATGGTATGTTTACAGTATGGTATGTTGCAGTATGGTTTGTTTACCGAGTATGGTTTGTTGCAGTATTGTTTGTTGCAGTATGGTTTGTTTGCAGTATGGTATGTTGCGAGTATGGGTTGTTGCAGTATGGTTTGTTTGCAGTATGGTATGTTGCAGTATGGTTTGTTTTGCAGTATGGTTTGTTTGCAGTATGGTTTGTTGCAGTATAGTTTGTTGCAGTATGGTTTGTTTGCAGTATGGTATGTTTACGGTATGGTTTGTTACGAGTATGGTTTGTTGCAGTATGGTTTGTTTGCAGTATGGTATGTTTACAGTATAGTTTGTTTACAGTATGGTTTGTTGCAGTATGGTATGTTGCCAGTATGGTTTGTTACGAGTATGGTTTATTTTGCAGTATGGTATGTTGCAGTATGAGTTTGTTGCAGTATGGTTTATTTACAGTATAAGTTTTGTTTGCAGTATGGTATGTTGCAGTATGGGTTGTTTACAGTATGGTTTGTTTGCAGTATGGTATGTTGCAGTATGGTTTATTTGCAGTATTAGTATGGTTTGGTATTGTTGCAGTATGGTTTGTTTTACAATATAGTTTGTTGCAGTATGGTTTGTTTACAGTATGGTTTGTTTACAGTATGGTTTGTTGTTGCAGTATGGGTTTGTTGCAGTATGAGTATGTTGCAGTATGGGTTGTTGCAGTATGTTTGTTGCAGTATGGTATGTTGCAGTATGGTTTGTTACCGAGTATGGTTTTATTTACAGGTATGGTATGTTGCAGTACAGTTTGTTTACAGTATTGTTTTGTTATTTTTAGTATTTTGTTGAGTATGGTTTTTGCAATTGGTATATTTGCGAGTATGGTATGTTGCAGTATGGGTTTATTTGCAGTATGGTTTGTTGCATTATGGTTGCAGTATGGTGTTTACAGTATAGTTTTGTTGCAGTATGGTTTGTTGCAGTATGGTTTATTTTGCAGTATAGTTTGTTGCAGTTATAGTTTGTTGCAGTATGGGTTGTTGCAGTATGGTATGTTGCAGTATGGTTTGTTTACAGTATGGTTTGTTGCAGTATGGGATGTTGCAGTATGGTATGTTTGCAGTATAGTTTGTTGCAGTATATGGTTTGTTTACAGTATGGTTTGTTGCAGTATAGTATGTTTGCAGTATGGTTTGTTGCAGTATGGTTTGTTTACGAGTATGGTTTGTTGCAGTATGGTTTGTTGCAGTATGGTATGTTGCAGTATGGTTTGTTGCAGTATGGTTTGTTGCAGTATGGTATGTTTGCAGTATGGTTTGTTGCAGTATGGTTTTGTTTGCAGTATGGTTTGTTGCAGTATAGTTTGTTGCAGTATAGTTTATTTGCAGTATGGTATATTTACAGTATGGGTTATTTGCAGTATGGTATGTTGCAGTATAGTTTGTTGCAGTATGGTTTTGTTGCAGTATGGTATGTTGCAGTATGGTTTTGTTGCAGTATGGTATGTTACAGTATGGTTTGTTTGCAGTATGGTGTTGTTGTTGCAGTATGGTTTGTTGCAGTATGGTTGTTACAGTATGGTTTGTTGCGAGTATGGTTTGTTGCAGTATGGTTTGTTGCAGTATGGTTTGTTGCAGTATGGTTTGTTGCAGTATGGTTTGTTGCAGTATGGTTTGTTGCAGTATGGTTTGTTGCAGTATGGTTTGTTGCAGTATGGTATGTTGCAGTATGGTTTGTTTACAGTATGTTTTGTGGTATTTGTTGCAGTATGGTTTGTTTGCAGTATGGTTTGTTGGTTTTGCAGTATGGCTTGTTGTTGCAGTATGGTTTGTTTGCAGTATGGTATGTTTACAGTATGGTTTGTTGCAGTATGGTTTATATTGCAGTATGGTATGTTTGCAGTATGGTTTGTTTACAGTATGGTATGTTTGCAGTATGGTTTGTTTGCAGTATGGTTTGTTGTAGCAGTATGGTATATTTGTGCAGTATGGTATGTTGCAGCAGTATCGTTTGTTGCAGTATGTTGCAGTATGCAGTATGGTTTGCAGTACAGTATGGTTTGTTGCAGTATGGTATGTTTACAGTATGGTTTGTTGCAGTATGGTTTGTTGCAGTATGGGTTGCTTTGCAGTATGGTATGTTACAGTATGGTTTGTTTTGCAGTATGTTGCAGTATGGTATGTTGCAGTATGGTATGTTGCAGTATTGTTTGTTGCAGTATGGGATGTTGCAGTATAGTTTGTTTACAAGTATGGTATATGTTGCGAGTATGGTTTGGTGCAGTATGGTTTGTTGCAGTATGGTATGTTGCAGTATTGTTTGTTGCAGTATATGGTATGTTGCAGCATAGTTTGTTGCAGTATGATATGTTGCAGTATGGTTTTGTTGTATGGTATGGTTAGGTATGTTTGTTATGAGTATGGTTTGTTGCAGTATGGTTTTTTTGCAGTATGGTATCTTGCAGTATGGTTTGTTTACAATTGTAGTATGGTATGTTTTGCAGTATGGTATGTTGCAGTATGGTATGTTGCAGTATGGTTTGTTGTAGTATGGTTGTTGCAGTATGGTTTGTTTGCAGTATGGTATGTTGCAGTATAGTTTGTTTTGTTGCAGTATGGTGACTTATTTGCAGTATATTTGGTGTGTTGCAGTATGGTTTGTTACAGTAGTAGGTTTATTTACAGTTGTTGCAGAATGGTATGTTGCAGTATGGTTTGTTGCAGTATGGTTTGTTGCAGTATGGTTTGTTGCAGTATGGTTTGTTTACAGTATGGGATGTTGCAAGTATAGTTTGTTACAGTATGGTATGTTGCAGTATGGTTTGGTACAGTATGGTTTGGTGCAGTATGGTTTTTGTTGCAGTATGGTTTGTTGCAGTATGGGTTGTTGCAGTATGGTTTGTTGCAGTTTGGGATGTTGCAGTATAGTTTGTTACAGTATGGTATGTTGCAGTATGGTTTGGTGCAGTATGGTTTGTTGCAGTATGGTTTTTGTTGCAGTATGGTTTGTTGCAGTATGGTTTGTTGCAGTATGGTATGTTGCAGTATGGTTTGTTGCAGTATGGGTTGTTGCAGTATGGTATGTTGCAGTGTGGTTTGTTGCAGTATGGTCTGTTGCAGTATGGTTTGTTGCAGGATGGTATGTTGCAGTATGGTTTGTTGCAGTATGGTTTGTTGCAGGATGGGTTGCTGCAGTATGGTATGTTGCAGTATGGTTTGTTGCAGTATGTTGCAGTATGGTTTGTCGCAGTATGGTATGTTGCAGTATGGTTTGTACACAGCATTGGTCAATGTAATCCCCCTGTAGCTAAGAGGATCTCTAGGGTCTGCTGATGAAAACTTAGGGATGGGTTTAATCAGTCCTTTCCCCCATAGTTTGGGAATACAAGCTGTATGGAAACACAATTCTTTAAAACGTTAGGTACCTTATATCCCTTTAATAGCTGTACAGGGATACCGTTATTGATACCGGGAGCCTTGCCCGCCTTCGCCTTCCGTAGAGCCTGTCGCACTTCCTGTATTATCATTTAAATTATCCCCCTAGCATTATGGCTTGATGAACACAATGATACGTATGTCGTGGCACATGTGTTGTACAATAACGATCGCATATCACAGCATCGTGAAATGTTTGTAGCCCTCTCAGTGATGTAGTTACAGATGTATTATTGCCAGCAGGTTAGACTGTAGGGTTATCAACACCACACTACGAGTGTCACATTGTGCTTGTCTGGATACTGAGTATGGAAAGTAAGTATACATATTGTTTAAAGAAGTATTATAAAGATTACATATGTTCAAAGAGAGGAAAACATAAAAGGAGTACGGTTATATTTCGTACATAATTAATTATGTGCTTTCTTATCTTACCTGAAATTCAGCCACTTGGGAATTATTTTCATCACTGATGCCGGTGACTGATTCCCATAGTTGCCAGCTGTAGTGATTTGTGACGCTAACGGAATCGTAATAGATTGATGATTTTCTGGTGTTTTCTTTTTTGTTAATCCCTAATCCAGTTTAGTAGTTCTATTCCAAGTATACTTTTACCTGTAATGTACTGCTGGTTCTAATGTGACGCTCACCTTATCAGCTTACATGTTCACAAAAATTAAAGGAACGAAGTAAAAACAGCATTTTTCGGCAACACTCATTTTGTGCATTTACATGTATCTTACCCAAACGAAGAATATACATAGTTAAAAAGTAATATTTATTTATGAAGTGAATATCGTTCTACCAAAACGGCAACATAATGTTCACCTGCTTTGTTAGTGTATTATGACTTGGACGTATTACGAGGCAATCGGGAAAACCCGTCTCTTGGTATTTATAGACGGGGAATTCCCATACTATATTTAGCAAAGACGTAACTGTTGTATCACCGCCTGTCCGTGTCACAATTGGGGTCGGTGCCTGGGATACCTTTATTAGTGCACAAATTGTTTGCAATGTTTATGGCGCTAAAGCAAGGTTGTAAAAAGCGGGTGCGTGAGCTAGGTTACACAACGCTTTCGGCAATATTCCAGCAATATGAAGTAGGGCTGGTCTATTGAGTGAGTCAGCGGTTGCGTGAGCTAGGTTACACAACGCTTTTAGCAATATTCCAGCAATATGAAGTAGGGCTGGTCTATTGAGTGAGTCAGCGGTTGCGTGAGCCAGGTTACAATGAACGCTTTACACAACGCTTTTAGCAATATTCCAGCAATATGAAGTAGGGCTGGTCTATTGAGTGAGCCAGTGGGTGCGTGATCTAGGTTACACAACGCTTTCAGCAATATTCCAGCAATATGAAGTAGGGCTGGTCTATTGAATATGAGTCAGCGGTTGCGTGAGCTAGGTTACACAACGCTTTTAGCAATAGCAATATTCCAGCAATATGAAGTAGGGCTGGTCTATTGAGTGAGTCAGCGGTTGCGTGAGCTAGGTTACACAACGCTTTTAGCAATATTCCAGCAATATGAAGTAGGGCTGGTCTATTGAGCATATTCCAGTCAGTCAGGGGTGCGAGAGCTAGGTTACACAACGCTTTTAGCAATATTCCAGCAATATGAAGTAGGCTACAGGTTTACACAACGCTTTTAGCTATACTCCGGCAATATGAAGTAGGGCTGAGTCAGCGGGTGCGTGAGCACAGGTTACACAACGCTTTTAGCAATATTCCAGCAATATGAAGTAGGGCTGGTCTATTGAGTTAGTCAGCGGGTGCGTGATCTAGGTTACACAACGCTTTAGGGCTGGTCTGTTGAAGTGAGTCAGCAGGTGCGTGAGCTGGAGTTACACAACGCTTTTAGCAATATTCCAGCAATATGAAGTAGGGCTGGTCTATTGAGTAGTCGGCAGCGAGAGCTAGGTTACACAACGCTTTTAGCAATATTCCAGCAATATGACAGGGCTGGCGGTCTATTGAATTGACTGAGTCAGTGAGCAAGGTTACCGCTTTTAGCAATATTCCAGCAATATGGAAGTAGGGCTGAGTGAGTCAGCGGGTGCGAGAGCTAGAGGTTACAATAACGCTTTTAGCAATACGGTCCAGCAATACGGTAGGAATGGTCCATTGACTGAGTCGAAAGCGGGTGCGTGAGCTGGGTTATGCAATACTCCAGCAATATGAAGTAGGGCTGGTCTATTGAGTGAGTCAAGTCGGGTGCGAGAGCTAGGTTACAGCTTTTAGCAATATTTATGAAGTAGGGCTGGTCTGTGGGATGGTGTCAGCGGGTGCGTGAGCAAGGATTACACAACGCACAACGCTTTTAGCAATATTCCAGCAATATGAAGTAGGGCTGGTCTATTCGGGTGCATTGATCTAGGTTACACAACGCTTTTAGCAGTCAGCAGCGGGTGCGTGAGCTAGGTTACACAACGGTTAGGGCTGGTCTGTGAAAGTGAGTCAACGCTTTTAGCAATATTCCAGCAATATGAAGTAGAGGGCTGGTCTATTAATCTGAAGCTGAGTCAGCGGGTGCGTGAGCTAGGTTACACAACGCTTTCGGCAATATTCCAACAATATGAAGTAGAAGATGGTCTATTGGAGATAAAGTCAGCGGTTGCGTGAGCTGGGTTACGCTTTAGCAATATTCAGCAATATGAAGTAGGGCTGGTCTATTGAGTGAGTCAGCGGGTGCGTGATCTAGGTTACACAACGCTTTTAGCAATATTCCAGCAATATGAAGTAGGGCTGGTCTATTGAGTGAGTTAGCGGTTGCGTGAGCTAGGTTACACAACGCTTTTAGCAATATTCCAGCAATATGAAGTAGGGGTCTATTGAATGAGTCAGTATCGGTTACACAACGCTTTCAGCAATATTCCAGCAATATGAAGTAGGGCTGGTCTATTGAGGTTACACAACGCTTTTAGCAATATTCCAGCAATATGAAGTAGGGCTGGTCTATTGAGTGAGTCAGCGGGTGCGTGAGCTAGGTTACACAACGCTTTTAGCAATATTCCAGCAATATGAAGTAGGGCTGGTCTATTGAGACTGAGTCAGCGGGTGCGAGCTAGGTTACACAACGCTTTAGCAATATTCCAGCAATATGAAGTAGGGCTGGTCTATTAAATTGACTGAGTCAGCGGGTGCGTGAGCTAGGTTACACAACGCTTTAGCAATATTCAACAATATAGTAGGACAAAATTCCAGCAATAATACTCCAGCAATATGAAGTAGGGCTGGTCTATTGAGTTAGTCAGCGGGTGCGAGCTAGGTTACACAACAGCAATATTCCAGCAATATGGAAGTAGGGCTGGTCTATTCCGGATAGTCAGCCGGGTGCTTTTAGCAATATGTAGTAGGGCTGGTCTATCGAGCTATCAGTTAGCAATATGAAGTAGGGCTGGTCTATTGGAGTCGGCAGGTGAGTCAGCGGGTGCGTGAGCGTGATCTAAGGTTACACAACGCTTTTAGCAATATTCCAGCAATATGAAGTAGGGCTGGTCTGAGAAGTGAGTCGGCAGGTACTGGGTTACACAACGCTTTAGCAATACTCCAGCAATGAAACGAAACAAGATGACTGAGTGAGTCAGCGGGTGCGAGAGCTGGGTTACACAACGCTTTTAGCAATATTCCAGCAATATGAGTAGGGCTGGTCTATTGATTGACTGAGTCAGCGGAATTTGCGTGAGCAAGGTTACACACAACGCTTTTGGCAAAATTCCAGCAATATGAGTAGGGCTGGTCTATTATTAGTCAGCGGGTGCGTGATGGAGTTACACAACGCTTTTAGCAATACTCAATAGTGAAGTAGGGCTGATATCCGATAGTCAGCAGGTGCGTGAGCTAGGTTACACAACGCTTTTAATAAGTATGAAGTAGGGCTGGCTGCAATATATTCGATAATTTGTAACTAGACACAACTATTGAGTGTCTGAAGGAAATTAATATGTTTCACACAACTATTATTGTGAGTGTTGACATGTTTAAGCATGGGTTAATAACAAAAAAGCCTCCTTAACATAATATGTAAGAATCTCATGAATAAATACTTTAATTTCTGTATTGCGGAAGTAAATTAAAGCTTGATTCTGTCACAAAAGTTTATGAACGATATTATCGACAAAACTATTTTCATATCGATAACCATAACTACTTTTTCCTGTCGACGATATTTTCGATCAACGATCTTTTTAGCCAGTCTGAGTATCAAGGCGAGGGACTTCGGAAATGCACTGTACACATTGTACCCATGTGGGAATCGAACCCGGGTCTTTAGCATGACGCGTTAACGACTAGGCTACCCACTGTGGCATGTTAAACGCGCTTCATCACATCCAAACTGAAACTTGTTTCATGCGTTTGAATAATAGCTAGTGCTCTGTATATTTTCCCAGCCTAAGATATTTGATAGTGATCCACAAACACATCCTCATGGACGATTGTAAGTGGAAAGCCCTTTTAAACTCCCTTCACACTTTGAATGTTTGTTTTTTTCATTTGCTACAGAATGCAAATCCTGCAAAAGAACAGAAGAGAAGTACAAAGAGAAACATTTTAATGAAAGCATCCTTTTAGAACATGTGAGCAGAGCCACTGTAACGGGCAAGAAAACACAACAAAAGGAGGACACTTTACATCAGCTGGCAAAGGCAGCAAACGCCTTGCTGAATTCAGATGGTGGGGTTCTCCTGATACACGTTGACGGGCAGCAGAAATGGGACAGGGACCTGGAATTACTTGATGAAGCTATCGGGAAACGATTTTCTACTCTGCTTCCGGAGGGTTGCCAATACTGTGACTATTTTTTCCCGGAAATTGTTATCGAATATCTCGTCTTTTGAAAATATACATGACTTTCTGTTATTCAAAATTGAACAAATTCGTGGCGTATCGACTTTAGACAGCAAAACAAAGATGCGAAATGACTTTGAAAATGTAAACGCTCCATGTTCCGTCATTGCTACGATATTGAAGCGTGGTGGAGATAATGAAACGCAAATCCCTGCAAACATGATTCGACACACTAGTGTTGACGATATACCATTGCATGAAGACAGAGAGTCAGAGTTGAAATGGCTGCCACAACAGGCACAAGGTGAAGCAGCAGTTGAAAATGTAACTGACTGTATTTGGCACGATCTGAAACTGAATCATAACATCACTTCTATGTCAAAGCTTCAGGGAGGTGGACGATTCTACATAGGCATCTCCGAGAAACCATTTAATGATCAGGGTTATAAAACAAAGAAGCGTTATATTAATTCATTTAATCTCTGCTTTGACATAAAGAAACTGATACAAAGTCTAAACAATAAATTGAAAACAGACCTGGTCGTTTTAACTCTGAAAGGGTCATTTCTGGAAGCACCTTCTGGTTTGATAGCAGCATATGCTATTCCAGAACAGGGTACAGACAAATGTGTACTGTGTGTTAACATAAACCATTTCAAAGGTATTGTGTTCTATGATAAAGCAGGACCAGAGGTTTACACATTCCAAAAAGGGACAGTGTGTCGAGTGTCCAAAGACGAATGGTTACAAAGACTGCTGTCGTTTTATCATCAACCAATATGGCCGCATGAATTGACGCACCGACCACAAGCTGTTGACACATTTGGCAACATGGATTCGTACAGAACTTCAAGTTCAAATAACAGCATATGTGATCGCCCTACAACTTTCACAGGTACTGTAATCTGAACTTTGTTTACCTTTTTTCCTGAAACTGTCACATGTATGTATAATTCTTGAAATCGACTCCTGGGATTTGTTTTCCGTTTTGTAGGTTTTGCTGTCTGAACCTAAAGAACTACAGTTGTTTTCAGAACACTATACCATTTGTTTTGTTCTGAATAATCCGAGAAAGATTTTGACCCTCCCACTATTTTAAAAAAATATACATGTATTTTCATGCAACCTAAAAATGAAATGAAGTTTATGAACGATATTATCGACGAAACTATTTTCATATCGATAACCATAACTACTTTTTCCTGTCGACGATATTTTCGATCAACGATCTTTTTAGCCAGTCTGAGTATCAAGGCGAGGGACTTCGGAAATGCACTGTACACATTGTACCCATGTGGGAATCGAACCCGGGTCTTTAGCATGACGCGTTAACGACTAGGCTACCCACTGTGGCATGTTAAACGCGCTTCATCACATCCAAACTGAAACTTGTTTCATGCGTTTGAATAATAGCTAGTGCTCTGTATATTTTCCCAGCCTAAGATATTTGATAGTGATCCACAAACACATCCTCATGGACGATTGTAAGTGGAAAGCGCTTTTTAAACTCCTTCACACTTTGAATGTTTGTTTTTTTCATTTGCTACAGAATGCAAATCCTGCAAAAGAACAGAAGAGAAGTACAAAGAGAAACATTTTAATGAAAGCATCCTTTTAGAACATGTGAGCAGAGCCACTGTAACGGGCAAGAAAACACAACAAAAGGAGGACACTTTACATCAGCTGGCAAAGGCAGCAAACGCCTTGCTGAATTCAGACGGTGGGGTTCTCCTGATACACGTTGACGGGCAGCAGAAATGGGACAGGGACCTGGAATTACTTGATGAAGCTATCGTGAAACGATTTTCTACTCTGCTTCCGGAGGGTTGTCAATACTGTGACTATTTTTCCCGGAAATTGTTATCGAATATCTCGTCTTTTGAAAATATACATGACTTTCTGTTATTCAAAATTGAACAAATTCGTGGCGTATCGACTTTAGACAGCAAAACAAAGATGCGAAATGACTTTGAAAATGTAAACGCTCCATGTTCCGTCATTGCTACGATATTGAAGCGTGGTGGAGATAATGAAACGCAAATCCCTGCAAACATGATTCCACACACTAGTGTTGACGATATACCATTGCATGAAGACAGAGAGTCAGAGTTGAAATGGCTGCCACAACAGGCACAAGGTGAAGCAGCAGTTGAAAATGTAACTGACTGTATTTGGCACGATCTGAAACTGAATCATAACATCACTTCTATGTCAAAGCTTCAGGGAGGTGGACGATTCTACATAGGCATCTCCGAGAAACCATTTAATGATCAGGGTTATAAAACAAAGAAGCGTTATATTAATTCATTTAATCTCTGCTTTGACATAAAGAAACTGATACAAAGTCTAAACAATAAATTGAAAACAGACCTGGTCGTTTTAACTCTGAAAGGGTCATTTCTGGAAGCACCTTCTGGTTTGATAGCAGCATATGCTATTCCAGAACAGGGTACAGACAAATGTGTACTGTGTGTTAACATAAACCATTTCAAAGGTATTGTGTTCTATGATAAAGCAGGACCAGAGGTTTACACATTCCAAAAAGGGACAGTGTGTCGAGTGTCCAAAGACGAATGGTTACAAAGACTGCTGTCGTTTTATCATCAACCAATATGGCCGCATGAATTGATGCACCGACCACAAGCTGTTGACACATTTGGCAACATGGATTCGTACAGAACTTCAAGTTCAAATAACAGCATATGTGATCGCCCTACAACTTTCACAGGTACTGTAATCTGAACTTTGTTTACCTTTTTTTCCTGAAACTGTCACATGTATGTATAATTCTTGAAATCGACTCCTGGGATTTGTTTTCCGTTTTGTAGGTTTTGCTGTCTGAACCTAAAGAACTACAGTTGTTTTCAGAACACTATACCATTTGTTTTGTTCTGAATAATCCGAGAAAGATTTTGACCCTCCCACTATTTTAAAAAATATACATGTATTTTCATGCAACCTAAAAATGAAATGCGGTATCTATCCTATACGTTCAAGTGGTGGATGACCCACTCACCGTGCAGACCAGTTTATTCTTTCGCTGAAGTGGTTCATGCAAGTCTCATCGATCCAAAATAAAAGAGGATTGATGCTCATGATGTTAATCACTGGATGGTCTTTATTCATTTTATATTTACACACCTCCGCCATATAGCGTTGAATAACATGAACATGCCATTTGGAAGTGTCTTTTACCTTTGAATGATATGTATTTCGAATATACATCTTGTCACATTACACCTCTGCTTACATCTTACAACAAAGCTAACCCTCAAATCATCTCCAAAACACTGCCACAAACAATCACTAAATTCCAATCATTGATATGACAGAAATACTGTACATTTCCTAAAAAACATTTATAGCTCAAATCAAATCATCTCCCGACAGGATTAAATATTGTATTTTCAGAAAACAAATTCAGTTATGTGTCGCTGTTCCGTGACTCATTTTAATGCATATATTTCAGATGAAGGGCAGGGAAGTTCCGCTGAGACTATCAAGATGGTACTCCTGGGATCAACAGGATCCGGTAAAAGTGTGACTGGAAACAACATCCTCAATAGACAGATTTTCCACACAGGTGTTTCAGGTCGATCACAAACTGATCAATGTCAGAGAGGTGAAACCAATAGAAATGGGCGGCAGATTCAAGTTATTGACACACCTGGTATGTTTGATACAAATATGAAAATTGAAGAAATTGCTAGAGAAGTTGCCCGCTGTGTTTGGATGACTGTTCCAGGTATTCATGCTTTTGTCCTTGTCATCAAGATCGACCGCTTTACCGACAAAGAGCAATCCACGGTGGACCTCTTTTCACAAATATTTTGAGACGACATGATGAAGTATCTGATAATCCTGTTTACAAGGAAGGATGACTTGATTCATAACAACGTCACTGTTGACGAATTTATTGCAGAAGCACCAGATAGGCTGAAGACTTTACTCCTAGCATGTCAACATAGATTTGTGGCATTCAACAATAGGGCACCAGAGGAAGATCGAGATCAAGATGTCCAATCATTACTCAATGCAGTTGATAAAATGGTAGTTGCAAATCGAGGAAGGTGCTACAGCAACTGGATCTATGTTTCCGCTAGTAGGATTATAGAGGACAGAAAGGAACAGCTAAGACTTGAGCACAGGATAGATGTCCAGAACAAGAAAGATTACGTCAAGCGAAAGCGGAAGATGAAGCATGAAAAGGCTAAAGCTGAAACATCTAAACATGAAATTCTAGCCCAACTTCAACAGAGGCTGCAGGACCTCAAACAGGAGAGGTCAGATGATTCCACGGAGTCCTCCGAAATATACGCAGTGCAACAGGAGATCCGGGGTTACGAAATGATGATAGAAAAACATCAAAGGCAGTACGAGGTGGAATGTAGGAAAGAAGAACGAGTGATGGCAAATGACATGAATTTACATTTCAGAGATTCATTTCGAGATGTAATGGACATGGGGACAAACCGTAATATCAGCGTTCGTGAAACTGGACTGAAAATGTTGATATTGGAGGTAAAGAAGACGGTATCGTCTATTCTTGGGTGACCCTCCATTAGACGATATCGTCTATTCTTGGGTGACCCTCCATTCAAATAGATTCCACATGGACATTATAATGCATTAACAACCACAATCAACGACAACGACAAAGTTGTTCCGTATTGATGATGTATCCTGAGATTCATGACACTAGGAGTTTTGTTTATGACGGGATATGTTAAATATCAACCAATGTAACAGGAGTCGTGAACAACTAAAGAATGGTATTAACGAAAATGGTCATTAACAATCACAGCAATAGTACTAACGACAATGGTCATTAGCAAAATCAACAATGGTAGTAAGACAATTTTCAAAGATTCAAATCGCTATTATTGGTTTGTATTACAAGGGGGTAAGCTCAGCAGGTTACATGCTGTGTATAGGTCAAGCGGGTACGGACAACAGCATGACTGGTGTTGTTGCGAGTCGCCTAATGAGGGGCCGTTCTAACCCAGTATGATTGTTAAATATATACGTTTCGTGAAATTTTTAGCTTTATGCATTAGGATATTTAGGTAATGTCTCAGTACACGTTTTACCAAGTCGCAAAAAGTATAAGTTGGGGAATGTCAGAATAACTCCATTCGTTAAAAGTAAATCTCCTTGGCTCCAACTTGGCTTCGTCTCTATCATTCTCCCTTCTTGTCTGTTTGTTTGTTGCTTCACGCCGTACTCAGCAATATTCCAGCTTCATAATGGCGGTCTGTAAATAATCTAGTCTGGACCAGGCGATCCAGTGATCAACAGCTTCCATCAATGCAGCTGGGATACCATGACGTGTGTCAACCAAGTCAGTTAGCCTGACCACCCGATCCCGATAGTCACCTCTTAGGACAAGCATTTGCTGAAGATCAATTTTAACGCGGATTTTCACGGGTTTCCCTTCTACATATGCGTCTCTCATGAACCGACAGTTACGAGTTTGATCCCGAATTTCTACGGAAAATATCAAAATATACCATAACTCTTCGTTGCCCAAACCAAAACCACATAAGGTGATTATCTGCCACTGTACTTGGTACCCACTGTATCTCCTCATAGCATCATTAATTCGTCCACTCGTGAAATTGTGTCAAGATATACACACCTATATTCATGAATGGCGATTGTGTATACTAAAGGATGTATTACAACCATATCATTAATCTATATTTGACATTCAATACAAACACACGAACGGTTAGAATATCCCATGTGTTTACGAAACGCAGCTCTATGTTGACTTGAGGTAAAAACAAACCCCTTTTCTGCAAAATATCAAGCATTATTCCCTGTTTGAATGTTTAAGTATTTCTACAATGGTATCCCGGTGTCAGGGGTTTTCGACGATGTAAGACAAAAACGTATTTTTTATCTGTAATATCATTTAAAGTTTGTATTTTACTAACCTTGAGTGATAAAGGATATATTCATCTATTTCACACAAAAATATCAAGTGTTCCCTACAAAAATAGCGTTGATGAAATCGTATCGGCGAAACTGTTGCCGCTCGTAACATCCGGGTATTTTGTATGGGTTTTCGACGATGAGCCATACTTTTTGCACCGCACTGCGAGGGAGTGTTGTGATCACGTGGCTTCCTATTTATATATTGCCTGTCACCAGCAGACGACTGATCTAACTGAATTTTCGCTTTCTATTTTTTGTTATAAAGGGAACTGATTTTGCATCGTAAGTGGTATTAACGATCTCGGGTAAATAATATTGATGTTTGTTTGCTTTTTATATAACTTTACTTCCCAATTTCCAATTTGTCAATAAAACTTCTCAGGACAGCGACTGGGCACCCGCCCTACTACTGAAACTGTTTGTGCACTCCGATCGCACACGTACTCCTCCGATATAGCGCCTGCAATGCAATCGTCGAAATCACCAGAACGTCGAATTCAGCTCGTGTTGGGATATGCAGTCTTAATATAACTCTAAACACAGAAACAAATCTAACTGGGTGATGGACACTTTTCCACAGTTTTAAAAATATATGAATTGATAGACTGATATGTTTAAAATATGTTCTGGCTGAAATGGCTAATATGATGCTTCATTTTATAATAACGTGTCAAAAGTGATTAAGTATGGTTGCAATCTTTTTGAAACGTTTATTTTACATGTTCATGGATTGTCTGTTTAAAAAAATGGTAAGTTTAAATTTACTTTGAAAGTTTTGGGACTCGCGAGTGAGTGAATGAGTTGGGTTTTACTGACTGACTGACTGACTGAGTTTGGTTTTACGCCGCTTTTATCAATATTCCACCAAAATCACGGCGGGGGACACCAGAAATGGGCTTCACACATTGTACCCATGTGGGGATTCGAACCCGGGTCTTCGGCGTGACGAGCAAACGCTTAACCACTAGGCTACCCCACCGCCCAGTTGGGTTTTACGCCGCTTTTAGCAATATTCCAGCAATATCACGGCCAGGGGACACGAGAAATGGTCACCACACATTGTACCCATGTGGGGAATCAAACCCTGGCGCTGGGCATGACGAGCGAACGTTTAATCCACTAGGTTACCCCACCACCCCACTAGTATACGTAATCAGTTACTGTTCAGTTACTGTTCAGTAACTGTATATTATTTATTTTATCTCGACCAGTGAATTGTCAACGCGTAGAATTACGCTTCGCGGAACATATATGTGGAAGTGATTTGCCTGCATGTCTGTATGCCATGAGCATGTCAATTGATCTCCAGAGGCAAGCGGACGTCCTCGTGCTGAATACAACATGACACAGACGATGTTCATGACGTGACGTGTGTAATTCAGACAGTTGTACTTCGGTCATGTTCAGTGCTCAGAACATATATAGAGAGACTATATAGGTAATACCGTATATAGAGAAAGTATATAGATAATATGAGTAGTATATGCAGATATTGATGTTGTATGTATGCGTGTATACAGACATACAGACGAAGACATGGGTGTGAGTGTTTGTATATGTATGTGCCCATCTGTCTGCTAAACACCTCGGTAAACACCATATCTGTTTCTCGCTTTTTCTGTCTGACAGTCCATTGTCTGCCGTCTAAACACCCCACGTGACCATCGTGAGATACATTGCGTTTCAACTAGTTTGCTCACCCCAATGACATCATCTAATCCTTCTTATGGGGCCTATAACCCGTCGTAAATAAACGTTTCATTTCTCGAGAACGTTTCTTAGATCCCGAGGAAAATGTGTATTTTTAGTTATCACATGTCAGTACACTATGTTTATGTATGTATGTATGTGTGTGTATGTACATATATATGTGTGTGTATGTGTGTGTGTGTATGTATGTGTGTGTGTGTGAATACAGTTTCGGATACATTGCTTGTGCACAATCGGAGTGCAAAAGAACAAAGAGTGAATAAAAAGAGAACATGTGTTTATTCACAATTAAGTATAATTTTTAAATCAGTAAGTGTTAACTAATAATTTATTGCAGGATGAAACACGATACGGATCACAAGTACCCTATTTTAACGTCTTTTGGTATGACGCAGTCGGGGATAGAACCCGCGACCTTCCGCTCTTCGGGCGGACGCTCTAACCACTACACCACGGAGGCGGTCCATAGACTGTAAATAATATGGCATGGCAATTCAGAAATAATTTTGTATTCGGCGAAGAACACATCCCATCTTCCTTACTGCGTCAGTAAATATTATGTCAAGTAAAAAAAGCAGGGTTGATGGAATAATTTGCTCTTACTGGTAAAGATTCAAACTCCTTACTGGACACGAGATACGTTTAGTTTCTTCAGTCCGGTAAAACATCACTTCTTCTTTCACACAACTTGCCATGTAATCCATCGCATCTATTTCTTTTTCTCCTTATCACTCGCCTTCTTTTCCGTTTTGGAATTTGCCTTTTCGCCTTTTTTGACACCAGCTGTGTTGGGGTTTTCTTCTTTTATCTTGATTTTGTCAGTTGCCTTTTGAAATCTAGCCCCTATTACATCTCCCAAACCCTTAGCAACAGCATCACCTATTGCTCTGCAAACTGTTTGGAACACAGTCTCTCCTAAGAACTTCAAAACAGCCATGGCCCTCTCTTGGTTTTTGTTAACTTCCTGCTTTGCCTGTTCTCTGAAATCTGGCGTCACGGACTGACATTTGAGTGTTCTTTCAGCAGCGTCTTTCTCTGCTTTAGCTTTCTGTTCCTCGGCATCCTTCTTCACATCAGCCAGCAATTGTGTCACCTCCTTTAATTCACCTTGCAGTTCCTTTATAACACTCTGTGATTCGCTTTCGTTTTGCTTTGCCTTTTCCAGTTCTGCGATTTGTGCTTGTAGAGTTTGCACCACCTCGTCTGCGTTCTTGTTCGTTTCTCGTAGCTTCTCTCGACATTCATCTTCTATCTGTCTTCTTTCCCTGTCCATATCTTCCTGGTGCTCCTTCTTAAGTTGCTCCTCTCTCCTCTTCATAGCCCGTTCAGCTTCCTCGTACATTTCATTGGTGTAATATGTGTTGCCATTTTCTCTAACAGTCCTGTCCACCAGACTCAGGAAGTTTTGAACGTCCCGATCTTTTTCCGCCTCCGAACCCCTGTTGTTGAAAGCAATATAACGATTATTGCAAGAGTTTAGAAGCTCTGTCAGCGGTTCTGGTGATGCGTGAATGAAATCTTCGATCGACTTACCATCAGCAATGAGATCATCCTTTCTAGTGAAAAGGACCAGGAGGTGTTTCAGCATTTCCCCACCAAAGACATCCTTAAAATGTTCCACGGTGTTTTGTTCTTCTTTGGTGAAACGATCGATGCGCAGAACCATCACAAAAGCATGGGGGCCAGGGGCTGTCATGGCAATGCATTTGACGATTTCTTTAGTAACAATTTCATTACTCATTCCTGTATCAAATAACCCCGGACTGTCAACTAATTCGATGTTTACTCCATTCCTCCTGGCAGTTCCTCTTTGACATTGCTTTGTCACCGATAACCCACAAGAGCTTGAAGCAAAGACTTGTTTTTGGAGGATGTTATTTCCCGTCATACTCTTACCAGAACCAGTTCGGCCGAGGAATACAATTCGCCTGTCCATACTGGCAGAATCGGGGATTTCTTGATCACCCAAAGAACGGAACTCCCAACTTGTCAGTAATCAAGGTGTGCTTAACCCTGGAAATAAAGAATAATATTTGTTGGTTTTTAGAAAATATCAACATTGTAGTTTATAAAGCCATGGGTCTAATTGGCTTTATCATTGTGATGATAATTCTTAATTTGAATTACATTCCTTTAGTGAGCCAGTGTTATTAATTTTACCCCCACATAGCCCTTTCACGGGTTTTTTCGTTTGATAATCAAGACAACCTCTACTCTAGCGCGAACGGGTTATACACACTGTTAAACGTATAACGTCAGTGCAAAAATATACTCAGTTTTGATTACCCTAAGAAATGGTTCCATTTGTGCAAAGGTCAAAGTGGATGTGACTATAAAGAGAATGGACTACTAAAAATTAGTAATGACACCAGGTGTTCGCAGTAATGTCCTGTCCTACCGATGGGACCCGCCAGTCACACAATGTGCCTACAACATATCAGCATTTACTGCTACACAGCAGTACTCCTTAAACAAACAAGACAATCAGGTAACTGCATTGCCTCTGTGGAACATCATTCTGTCTATATCCGTAGTGTTAGTGATCTGTTCTCACAGTACAGTTCACCGAACCATAACCAGTCTACCACAGTGAAAATACAAACTATCCATCCTGCCAGCTATCAACACACAGTGGCCGTCCCTGGCTCGTGCCACAAAACCAGCCTTTCAAACACCATAATAACCATAACCATATGCTATCGATTGGAAGTAAGATCGAATCGGAAATTATGCAAAACACCGATCCTAAACAATGATTAATAACGACAGGTATGTACGTACCTTCGTCGAGCAGCACTCGTCCTTTGTGTGGAATAATATTATAACGCTGTTTGAACGTGACGTCATAAAATATGACGACACTCTATTTTGAGACTGGGAATACCCAGCACAGCTGTTGTGGGAGAGTTGTTATGGAGATCACAGTGATTATATCGTGGCGATGCAGACAGAAACGACAAAGAGACTGCACGTCCCCAAGTTCAGGTAATGGGTGGTTTCCTTTCTTAATGGGTGTACCGTGTCGTTTGATAGAGGTTAGTGAGTCATCGCAATACACCCTGCCACCGCTGATTGCTTTTGTGGAATTTTGTATTCCCGGGGAGAGAAATATATTCCCAAGGAATCAGTTGTAGAGTGTATCGGTAAGTACTCCTGGTTATCTGGGCATAAGTTGTATGGGCCTGTGGTGACAAGCATTTCAATGTCATTGAAATATGATGTATAATACCATTAACCTCAACATTTCTCATTATCACAGATCACAAGTTTATCACCGAATTTACGGCTGTTTTATCAGTAAATTTTTAACTTTTCCTTTCACTATCATTATAAATATATGTACAGTGAAGCCTCGTTAATCCGAACGGTTGCGTTTCTCAGCAAAGGATTGCGGATAGTCCGGACTACTGATTCAAGACCCAAGGAAACCGAATTTCCGGATTATCGAGGCAAATTAAATAGGCATAGATTGGTAACAAGTTAAAATCGTCCGGGAAGCGAAATATCCGGATTATCGGAGTCCGTACTAACGGGGCTTCACTGTATATGTAGTGCGTTTGAGTGTGTGCTTTGTGTGTGAGCTTTGTATGTGCTGTGTGTGTGTTGACGCTTGATAAAGTACACTCAATGTGCAGATCGTTATATACTATCAAAGCAACGTGTACAGATCCTTATGCCGTTATCAAACTTTCTGTCCTAGTTGTGTTTACTTTGTATATCTAAACAAATCCAAAGTTTGATACTACATGAACACGCAACTGATACACATTTTTCACAATATACTTTAATCCACACTGCTGATGCATGTACGTGGATGTACATCGTGTACATGTGTATGTATACAGTCCTATACATATATACCCTGTCGCCAACTTCACCTATTTGAATATCCCCCAACCTGTAGCTCACACAGGTGTGCTGTTTGTTCAGAGTGAACCCGTCGAAGTCATTGATATGCACTATGGGCTCGAACTCGAGACAGTTACCACAAGATACAGCAATATCAGGAACATCTCTGGAAAACGCTCAAATAGGTACGTTTTCTATTTCTCGTATTGTTTCGATTTTATACATTTCTATAGTTGAGTCACATGACATGATAATATTTTACCTTACATGTAAAATACTTGAATTCAGTTTAAATAAATGTCCGTTTACCCTTTGCAGCGGCGTAAACATATCCCCGTTGATGAGCTTTTTGTTGTGTTAATGTACACCATATGCGTTGGTTCAAGAAAGCATAGATTTACCTGCTTCAAAAAACTTATTAGTGAACATTCACACCGCGTCTTCTATGATTAAATGGAACATATTTCATACCAAACTCTTGTCTAGTTCTCGAAGTCGAAGTTTATTCAGTGTAGTTTTAGGAACTTTGATTAGCGTTGATACAGTGAGTGTTCGATATATGCCGAGGTATAAATGCTTCAAATATATCAATATAATGGTACGTGACACATGTATTTCTAGGATGGTCATGCTCAAGGTGCACGTTTATTAACGCCGAGTCCATCCAAGTTTGTCAGATGTGTGAATACCAGAGGATACTGGACGATTCACTTCAAGCTGTTCAAGATGACCAAACGCAACAAGACTGTGACAGTACACAGCTACAAATGCGTGATCGGCAAGTGGATTCAAAAACGGATATCCCTACACCGAGGCACGTAGAACATGGTGGTAAGTACATTTACTGACATTCATTATGTTACGTGGGGTATGAATCGATGTGTTTCCCACTTTGGTGAAGAAGTAGCGTTAGTGTGGTGTAGATAAACCAAGACAATAATCAGGATAATTCAAGGAGTCGAACCCCTGATCAAAGGATCATGGCAGGCCGAACCGTGGACACAATCTGTACATACTTACGCGCGCACACGCACACACGCACACACACACATTGTTCTGTTGGGTCAAAGATCATACAACCTCAGAATTGCTCATAGCATATATTATAGAGATATCTGAATCCTCGTTTATACCATAATCTCTTAGGCTGTATACATTGCTAATTCATATTAATATTATAAAGATTTCTGAATCCTCGTTTTTACCATAATCTCTTAGGCTGTATACATTGCTAATTCATATTAATATTATAAAGATTCCTGAATCCTCGTTTTTACCATAATCTCTTAGGCTGTATACATTGCTAATTCATAATGGGTTATATTGCATGTTTGTTAAGAAATAAATCAGTCTAAGAATTGATAAATCGTATTTCTCTGAAAACATAGTGTAAGAAGGCATTGTGAAAGTGAATTAAACAAGATGTATTTAGAGAATGTTTAAACGAGGATCCAACATGCCGATGTGGCAACCCATGTGAAAGTTAATTGAATTGATGTATCTTAACTTTAGTGGATCAAAGCGACTTTATAACTACCATGTACATTTTTTCTTTGTGTAGTGTTAGTAACAACAGATCTGTGCAGCGACGACCTGAAACTATGTCAAGACACTTTGACATGTCATAACTAAAAATACACAATTTCCTCAGGAACTAAGAACATTCTCGAGAAATGAAACGTTTATTTACGACGCTCTAACCACTACACCACGGAGGTGGTCGGTTAAATTATTAGGGATGTGGGGGAAAAGTGGGTTTAATGTCGCTGTTAAGATTGCTACGCTACAGCGACATGACTAGTGTGTGCGTGCGTATTGTTTGTAGGCATGCGTGAGTACGTGCTCGTATGATTGTACTTATCCCTACTAATGTCAGTTCCATTGCACTAGCTTATTCTAAAATAGTGAGTGGGTGGGTTTAGTTTTACGCCGCACTCAGCAATATTCCAGCTATATGGGGGAACTTATAAAATAACATGTCGCAGTTGTAACGTGACTATACTTGAAAGTGTAGGGATTACCTCCCTTTTATTGTGTTTATGATCATGTTCATGTGGCCCTTCTTCAACACACCGGTTTTACCACATCTAAGGATCCACTACCCACATCACACAGACACCTTGTCTAGGTATACGACGCTGGCCTCACTGCGAACACCCGGTGTTACTGTTGTAAATCATAATACCTACGTTGAAGTAGTATCACTTTTCGTTACTAGTGCTCAGTGGCCACTGGTTGTGACAATTAAAAACATGACCACATCTTTAGCACCTCGCAAAGCTAGGACGTGCCCGTTGTTCAACAAGGAGTTCAACAGCACCTCAACAGCAAAGCTAGGACTCACTAGTGTAAATGTAGCCACTTACGTTGTTCAACAGGGAGTTCAATATGATATATGATATTTTGATATATGATATTTATATAGCGCACATAACTTTACCAGGCAACTAGCCTTTCGCAATTGCTCAAGGCGCTGGTATATTTTCCAGAACTCACTAAACCGATAACTTCATGACGCTCCATGTATTACAAAACTCACCATTAAGCAGCACATGTTCACGTGAAATGAAAATTCAACAAGCTAACTAAAGAAAAGATGTTCAGGCGCATTCATCAAAAGTTATTTCTCATAATTGTCACCAAAAGAACATTCCAAAGCCACTTTGCACGTATCACTTTCAGTCCAGTTATCGCCAGTGCCAAATCTGAAGACTAGGTGTTAAATATAGAGTGAAACTTAATAGTTCGAAAGGTCGATGCTTGTTCTGGATTCTCTAACAGAAAGAATTACAGGGTATTTTTCACTAATATCCACATAATGTTTGTCCTCCACCAGTATACGTTGCTTTCTCATATGTGCTCTCTAGGTGCGTTGTAACACCAGTGGTGACTGTTACTTGGGCGCAACTATTTTGAAACATGCTATATTTATAGCGTTTTGACCACTGACGGTTTTCTTATCTTTTTGGGGAAAGTTGTGATCCGAAAGTGTACAAGGAAATATTGACAAAATGCAATCTTGAGATGGGTATAAATTAGCAGATATTTACGTTAAGAGATATTGCGTTGAGTAGTGTTTAACACCATCTTAGCAAGTGTTGATAAGATAACTGCTTGTTAAACAGTCAACTGAACACTACAGACAAGTCATTTAGAGTAATTTTAAATTAAAACAGTGCAATACACTGGTTGATGATACAGTCGAGAGACCAGGCACACTGTATTCACCAGTGACACACGTTAGGGCTGCGCTCAGCGAGCACAGCATGACAGCGAAGCTATTTCTGTCCCAGTCTGGACGGCCCCAACTCGGTATATTTGGGTCTGATTCGACATCGGTGTCGTGTCAGTTTTGTTCGATGTAAACGAAATCATAAACAAAAGCAGTTTCGTTACGAGGCTACTCTGATAGGGTGCGAATGTTACTACTTGTTTAGTGAGCAATGCCACTTGTGTAGTGAGTGTCACTAAAGGTTCGGTGAAAGTGTTACTGTGAAGCCAGTGTTACTACAGGTTCAGGGGAAGTGTTACTGCGTAGTCAGTGTTACTAAAGGTTCTGTGAAAGTGTTACTGTGTAGTGAGTGTTACTAAAGGTTCGGTGAAAGTGTTACTGTGTAGTGAGTGTTACGAAAAGGTTCGGTGAAAGTGTTACTGTGTAGTCAGTGTTACTAAAGGTTCGGTGAAAGTGTTACTGTGTAGTCAGTGTTACTAAAGGTTCTGTGAAACTGTTACTGTGTAGTCAGTGTTACTAAAGGTTCTGTGAAAGTGTTACTGTGTAGTCAGTGTTACTACAGGTTCAGTGAAAGTGTTACTGTGCAGTAAGAGTTACTACAGGTTCAGTGAAAGTGTTACTGTGTAGTGAGAGTTACTACAGATTCAGTGAAAGTGTTACTATGTAGTGAGAGTTACTACAGGTTCCGTGAGAGTATTACTGACTATGTAGTGAGAGTCACTAAAGGTTCGGTGAAAGTGTTACTGTGTAGTAAGAGTTACTACAGTTTCTGTGAAAGTGTTACTATGTAATGAGTGTGGCTACAGGTTCAGTGAAAGTGTTACTGTGTAGTAAGAGTTACTACAGGTTCAGTGAAAGTGTTACTGTGTAGTAAGAGTTACTACAGGTCCAGTGAAAATGTTACTGTGCAGTAAGAGTTACTACAGGTCCAATGAAAGTGTTACTGTGTAGTAAGAGTTACTACAGGTTCAGTGAAAGTGTTACTGTGTAGTAAGAGTTACAACAGGTCCAG